AGCAAACACTGGAAACATCTGAATGTTGGCAGTAGGATAGGAGCTTATAAAATGAAAACTGCTCTGACAGATTACTGTAATGCTATCAGGAATGTCAATGGCATGATCCTGCGGCCGACTCTGGAGCCGAAAAGATCCAGCCCCTCCTCTTACTAATTTACTAACTTACAATACTTTCTTCACCTGTGAAACAGAAATTGTAATGCATACTCCTCAGAATTACTGTGAAAATCAAGAAGATAATGGATATAAAACACAGCCTACACATCAAAAATCATTACTATAAGTATGAAGTTTATTTGGAAATAGGGGAACAAACATGCAAACCATGTTAAATGAAAGAAGAAAACAGAGCACACAGGGGTACATACGTATACAGTGATTGTCTCCTTTAGACCGACATCACTCGCTTCCCCTCAGTGCCAAGGACCACATAATCTGACCCTTGCCGCCAGGACTCCTTTTGCACATAAAATAAAATTCAGCTGCCCTTCCGCAGCTCCACGGCTGCCTGATCTGGCCCTGCTGACTCCCAACCCACCCCAGCCAGCCTCCATCCAGTGCCAGTCACTTTCCTGTACCTCGACTCCAGAACATGCTTTCACCCCCTCTGTCTCTCTGCCCAGAATCCAGTGCCCCTGATGGCTGAAGTCCTGATCTCTCCCGGCTCACTGCCGCGTGATCGTCAAGGCTCTCAGTTTAAATGTCACGACCTTCCATTCTAAATCAAGTCCCTATCCACAGCCTGGGAGTACCTAACACAGTAGGGCAGTCGGTCTGTTTTGTTTTCTTTTTCCTTCATAGCACTTATCACAGCTTGTCATTATATTTCTACTTATGTGATACGTAGTGCCTTGTACCTGCTTCCCTGGATGAACTGTGAGCTCTTTGAGGACGGGGATCCTGCCCGACCATGCACCCAGCATGCTGTCCACACACAGGAGATGCTCAATAAGCATTTATCCAAGGGAAGCAATACATGGCTATTTGCTCTAACTTTCTTCATTCCATAGAAGGGGAAACTATAACTAAGGAAAAATAAGTTTTCCTAAGCCATTGAGGCATGCAGTGGCCAAGCTGAAATCAGAATTGAATTAGAATTAGATAATAATTAGAACTAGTATCTGGATTTGAACCATCACTGCCAGGCCAGGACTAAGGACAAGGAAGACACCTATCAGGTGAAACTGGAAGCCGGGAGGGGATGTAGACAGTTCCCATCCATGCAGTAAAATTCTCTAATGGCTCTTAAATGAGGAGTCTCAGTTTTTTTTATTTGACAGCTTATTCCTTGTCATTAAATAATGCCCAAATATTGATACCCTAACACATGCAAATATTAGAATTATCTGTTTTCCCAGCCACATGGCTAGAGAGTTCTAAGTGAGAAAATGAATAGCAAAGGCAAAAAAGAGAGGCCATATGGCCATCCTCTGTCCCATCTGTTCCATGGGGACTTTGGCCTCTGGCTCAGCCAAAAACCAGATGAGGATCCTGAGGACTCTGAGGCCCCTCGCCCTTCCTGTCCAAGCCCTGTTTGCACTGAGAGACTGCCATACACACACAAGGTAACTGTTACTTTGGACCCAAACTGAGCTTTGCACCCAGCTTATGCAACTCAGTTTCAATGTATCCTTTACCCAACAGCAACAGCAGAGAGCTACCCCGACTGATGGTCCCCATGACTCTGCATAATTGGGGCACAAGAGATTGGTCCCCAGGATTCATCAGCAAATGAGGACACAGAGTAAATGGGCAAACAGCCATCTTTCAACAAGCTTGCTCTGGGGTTTAGTGTTAGGTATCCAGTTTTTACATCTTTTTTCCATCTTCCTGCACACAAGACCCCTACAGCAGGGGAGCCTCCTTGAGACCTGTAATGGCCCATTTAATGCGCTGAACTCTCGTTCAGCAAATGCTTATGAAGCATGTGCCAGGTGCCAGGCTCTGGGGCCAAATGTGTACATCTCAGAAGGAGAATATCAAGCAATGGTTTTCCATACATTGTGGGCAAGAACTATCAAGGAACTGCTAACTTCTTCCCCTGCCTAATGGGCGGGGCTGGTTCTGACTATGTGAGCTAACTGCATGGAACCCTGATCAGGTTTCAATGTCTGAACAGTATATCTAGAGCCAAGTCAGGTGGATCGGGAAGTAGCTATAGTCAGCACTTAAGATCCATAGGCTTAAACCTTTTGTGCAGATAAAGCAAAGCCTGCTAAAAGCCTGTAGGGCCACAAGGAAATTGATTCTGGTGCTACTTTCATGACTGACCCACTCTGGACCCCTGCCCCGCTGCTGTAAACCCCAGTCCCATCCACTGTACAAGGAGCAGGCCAGATCTTTCCAGTTCCGACAAACTAAGCATCTGCAGCCTGAAGTAAAGCACTTCTTTTTTTTCTGGTTCAGCAAAATACATTTCCTGTAGAAATCAGGAAGGGAGGTAAGGACGACAAGGTAGTAGGCAGTAGGTGCATAATCTAGAAAAGCCCTTTGGTGTCAGGATGCTATGTCCTACTTCTTCCTTCAGCAAGAACTCTGCCACAGGGCCAAAATTTGCCTTTGACTAAGCTGGCCTATCTCTCTAACCATAACTCTTCTTAAACCCAGAAGCACTACTGAGCAAGAAGCAACAAGACTACCAAAGACTGGCCCAGTCTGGATGGCCCAATTCCAAGTCCTGTTCCAAGACCCTGTGCTCCTGATTCCTTGCTTGACCTGGGGGAAATCCTTTCCCTGCTTTGTGCCTCAGTGTTCTTATCTGTAAAATGGCAGGTGTGGACTAGACTATCCTTGAGACCTTTCATCACAAAGAGGATACAGCTCTTTCCACCAGTCGCTGGCTAATGGACACGGCACAGCAGAGACAGGTTCCCATCACATGGGCTGCTGCCACCAGGATGAGAAGAGGCAGGGGACCTGGACCACACAGTAGCTGAGAAATGAGATTAGGAGATGAATATACAGGATGTAGGAACTCCAGGACCCGGGAATAGCCATGGAAGGCAGGGACAAAGGCAAGGAAGAGGTTAGAAACTTCAAGATGTTGAGAAAGGTAGAAAAAAACAATGACACTACTGAAGAGCAATTTGACAGTGGTTTAGAGTACCAACTCGAGAGTCAGATGATTTAGATCCGAACCCTACACGTGCTCCTGACTGGCAGTGTGGATCTCAGACAAATTGCTTAAACTCCTCTGTACTTTAAGTTCCCCAGTTATAACACAAGGAAATAGCATTACTTTGTAGATCTTAAAAGGATTAATCCAGTTAACAACCCACTTTAGTGCCTAGCATATGGAAGCTCATCCTAAGTGTTTGCTTTTATTATATTATATAATATTCTGGTATTTTTATTTTTATTATTATTATTATCAGGACAGATAGAATATGCAGATTCTAGTTCTTACTCTCTTATTACTGACCTTGGGATTCAGCTCTCTACAGGCAACATGAGGGACTGAAAAATTAGCAGTGTTTCTCAAAGTAGAATACGTATATGTATCCATTCATGAGGGACTAATAGGAATTCTCCATGAGGACTTAAAATATTTTGTGTTTTCATTTCAATGGTCATCTAAACAAAGGTGAGTAAACACATCTGGATTTTCTGAATGCCTACTTTATAATCAAGTTCTGGCACACGATTTCAAGCCTAAGTTTACATTTGTGTTTGTGATTGTGTTTGCACCAATATAACTGTAGCAGACTAATGAAAAAGGCACAGACACAGCTGCTATCTGTGAATGATGAGATTAGACCAAATGAAAGCCCAATGGCATCAAATGAAGGTCACTGAAAAAAATGGTAGGAAAATTGAGTCGTTAGCATGTAATAATATAAACTGTCCAAACTCAAGCAAATAAGCATGCACTGCTGTAGTCGCATTGTTGCCTATAATATGGCTTCAGCTAAACAGCGTCAGCTGTCTTACTACATTAATGGTGTTAATTTGAATTGTATTGGTTTTGTAACTTTGCATTTAATTTGTAAGTTTGTATGGGTCATATGGTTGTATAATACAAGGGGTTTATGTCCACTTTAACATATGCACATATTTAAGTAACATTATAATAAAAAATAAATTTAGTGAACACAAGGGGACCTTGACATTTTTGTTCTTTTAAGGAAGCTCCAAGCATTATTCTAGTTTCAGAAACACTGAAACTATCTCCAAGATCCCTTATAGCTCTTTGAGTCTAAGAAAGATGATCATTTTGGTTACAGATGTGTTAAACTTCATGAGGACAACCAACTGGGGATGCAGGCTTAGCCTTCAGGAGACAGAGATTTAGAAGCCTACAGAGGAGTGCAGCTAAACCCAGGAGACCAGACGGGATCTCTAGAAGAGTTCAGAGAGAGAGAAGCCAAGAGCTGATACCGGAACTTCAGGGAAACCACCATGCCTTATAACGTTCCCCTTCTCATGGATTCACCTGATCATCAAAGATGACCTCGGGATTACCAAAAGGACCACTGTCCCATCCAGAAGTGAATGGCTTAGAACCTCCAGAGAAATAAAACAAATCTCCATTGTATATTCCTCCAGGCTTGCAGTCAAAGCTGAAAGGAAAGAGTCCTCACTGACACTAAGAGATCCAGCCTCTGATCTCTAAGAGCTGGGCCATTAATTCACTTCATTTTCACTGCCCAGAAGCCATCAGGTGCTCCTGGAGAGCCAGGGAGCCCCCAGGACTGCAGCAAAAGGAAAGAGTAAGATGGTAAAGGGGCATTCTGTGCCAGATTCCAGAGGTCAGAATTCAGGCCTGGGCACTTGCACAAACTAAAGCTACCATTTCTGCCTGGCTGCAAATCTGTCCCCTATGCGAAGCAGTGGGGCTAGATCAGGACCATGCAGTTCTGTGTCCACCAGGGCCAGATTCACTCCATCACTTGAAGAAAACCAAGAAGACTCCCTTTCTCTGCCTTCTCTGACCCCCAACTCAAAACCAGGAAGCAAAGCACGGGAGCCCCCTCCCCCCCGGAGGACCCCAGGCTTACTGTCTGTCTTCTTCGGAACGTGAGATTCTTCCACAGCAGCAACCTCAGCTGAGGCCAGCAAGCCATGTTCCCTCAGTTGGCACCGCGCAGCCTGCGTGCGGCTCGGCAGCCCGGGGAGGAAGTGGCCGGAGCGCACAGCAGGGACGCTGTGGCTGGTCATTAACTGAAAGATAAAGCAAGAAGGGACAGTGCTGTCAGTTTCTGCTGCAAAACCATACACCCTGAGGGCTGTTGCTCCAGCCCCCTCATCTGAGCCCTCATCACCCAGGTCTGCTTCTCGACTGCTTCCCGGGAAGCCACGGGTCCCCCATGTCCAGCTGCGGGGTCTCTAGGAAACAGGGCTTCTGGAGGTTTTCTGGTGGCAGCCTGGGAGTGGGTCATCATAATCCAAATCATTTGAGCTCCACTGGTGGGATCATTTGGGAAGGAAAACTGCACTTATGAAAGCAGACCTAGGTGGGCAGTCTTAGATGGCCAAAACACTGAGGTTGGGAATGGCCTATTAGAATCCCAGTGACCTCCATCGCTTCTCTAAGAAATTGCTTCCCCTCACAGAAGATGTCAGCAGCACTTATAAACTTTGCCTCAAACCTGGAGTGACTTATGCTGCAGAATACATTTTCATCTGGCCACACAGTTGAGTCCTTGCAATGATAAATGGCACCATCGATACAGCAGTTCCTAATCTGGAAAGCCACAGCATGTCTTAGATAACTGTGAGTAAACACCAAGGAAATGCCACGGACACCTGGCTCTCAGGTGATGAGGACAACCCCAGTGCTCTGTGTGTGTGTGTGTGTGTGTGTGTGTGTGTGTGTGTGTGTATGTATGGAAAGCAAACAATATCCCGTGGAGAAACAAGTCAGCTAAGGCAGACAGAGAGCATCGCCTGTGAAACTGACAAGCTCCCACTGTCCGGACAGATGCACACTTTTGGTTTTGCTCCACCTGCATCTGCACACAGGGCCCAGCTACTCCTGGTCAGGTGTGGACTGTTTGGCCATGCTGGAGGGAGGGGAGGTTCTCGTAAACAGATACAACCTTCTGTGTGTCCCAGCTGCCCCCTCAACAATGGTATTTATTTAATGCTGGAATAATCCTAGGTAGCCATACAGGAATTAAAGTTGGGCAAAAGGCAGAAAATGAAAAGCAGAAGAAAGGAGGGATACACAGGTCAAATCTAGGTCCTGCTGCCACTTCACAGTCATGAATGCTTGGTAGAAACCGGAAACCAGGTTTATCTCTAAAATGGCTCATTTAATCATTATGTTCTCTACTAGAGTAGAGGTGGGGATGGGATCTTAGCCATGAGGAACAAACTACAAAAAGAGCTAAGAATGTAGTGACCACCTATGGATACAAAACCAACTACTGGACTAAAAATCTGTGAGTTCAAATCAGACCTCAAGGCAAAGGTCAGCCTCTAGCAGGATTTAACCCTCTTGGCCCAGATCCCACAAGGACTTGGATTTAAAACTCCTACAGAACAGAGAGGATGGGGGGGGGTCTGCAGCTTTAGAGAAGAAGAACTGACACTACTATCATGTATTTTAAGTCATTCATTGACAAGCCAACAAATCAAAAATTCTTCTGAAATATCCAAGCCTTATGACCTATTCCTTTTCTTTATCGTTTGCTCAGCAAAATCTCTAAGACACAGGACCTCCCAATTTCTCACTCCAAAATGAAGAGGCGATAAACCAGCACTGTGTCCACCTGCAGTTTGTTGTTTAAAGACAGCACTAGCCTCCGAGCACTGAGAGCCCGGGTTTGATCATGAGACGCAAACCAGTGACCCCAAATGGTTTTGAAAGTGGCCTGGGACATGGTGTGCATTCCAGAAACACTGAAATAAATAATTAGCTAGATTGTTCTCGTGCAAAAGCTGCTCTCCAGAAATCACTTCGTTGCTTTAGAAACTACAGGAATCTTTTCAAATCCCCAAGGTAACAATGAGGAGGCTGGAACAAACGTTTGTAATTAAAAAAGGAAAGTTAGCCTAGTAGAAAGAGCCCAGAGGGGAATTAGGCCCAGCTTCCCAACTAGGTGCCCTTGGCCAAACCTTTATGCTCTCTGAGTATCAATTTCCTCAGTATAAAATGGGGGAGACAATACCTGCCTTGCCTGATAGTCAATGGATCAAATGAGGTAATATAAATAAGTCCCCAACAAAGTACATGGCGCGCTGGAAGTGCCGAAGAACTGTGCCAAGTTCCCTTCTCCCCGCTTTCTTCCTCTGGTCTATCCATCCTCAAGCAGAGAAATGGTTACATCCTGTCCAAACATTCTGTTCTACTCCATTATTTCTAGCAAATCCATTGAAGGTTTCCAGCAAGATAGGAAGGGCAAAGTAGGAAGAATGAAACCAGAATGGCCTGCTGTGAGAGACCCCCCCGGCCCCCGGCCCAAACCAGGACACAGAATCCCCTCAGTCTGAGTGGAGAATCTCAGAGGAAAAGAAGACACACCTCTATAGAATGTTCACGAGAAGAGAAAGGCCAGGAGGAGTGTTTTTGGAGAGTATCCTCCTAAAGCAGACATGGGTTCTGGCCATGAGACATGCAGAGAAGTTAGCAAGAAGTAGCCCAGAGCAGCAGTAGAAGGTTCTGCTCCAGTTTCGCTGGGTACAAACAGGCCGCCTTCTTGCCCCACTTCCCCCACCCTCCTTGGCACAGCCCAGCCTCCCGCATTCCCTCCTCCCACCTCAGAACACAGTGACCATGGCTGGGAGCAATTTTATCCAAAGAGGAGGGTTTGGCAATGCCCGGATTCCTCTGTTCAGGTAACTGAAGCCAAAGGAACATTTCTACATCAGTTTTCCAAGGAAGTGAACAAACAAACCAAAACCAAAAAGAAGGCCATACTCTGTACTAGATTTCTCAGTGTTTCCAAGCCAGTAGCACACTTTCTTCTGCCCTGATGCACATTTCCAGTAACTGGCTGGACAGGGTCCCACCTCACCATCATGGACAGTCGATAGGCTGCTCTTTTCAGGTGACCACAGCAGCCACTTCACTGGGTTCCCTGCCTCCCGTCTTGCCCTGCCCCATCCATTTATCACAGAGCAACCAAAGTTATTCAACTAAACCAGAGATCCAAATACACCACTCCTCCACCTAAAACCTCCTGCCAGCACCCACCGCCCTGAGGACAAAGTCCAGTCCTCATGTTGGTTTCACTGCCTTCCCGATGACTCCAGCCTCCTCTCTCACCGCTCCCACCTCCTAAACCAGGCCCCGGAAAAGGATGCACAGGTTCTGGGTGGGCCGCCGCTCTCCTACCCTGGGATGTCCGTGTACTCCCTGTCCTGAAACCTCTTCTCATCACACTGTCAGCCTGGCTAACTCTTCCTCAACCGCACGTCTCCATTTAGCTGTCACCTGCTGGGGCTCCTGTCCTAGCCACCTCCCCTGCGCTGGGCGCAGTTAGGAGCCCCTCCTGGGTGCACCCCAGGCAACCTCAGTCCTCCCTGGCGTCACCACTGCCACATTCCGTATCTGCGGACCATTCCTGTCTCTTTATCGCAGTTTTCCCTAGTCTGCAAAACGGCGTCAGGCATATCATCAGCCCTCGGGGAATACTGGCTTAATTAACGAACTCCGAGAAGTAGAGTTTCTGAATGTAGGGGTGGTGGTATTCCTGGGCCTGTGGTTAACCGATTTCTCAAGCTTGATTAACTCATTTAGGCAAACTGTCCCCAGAGAGGGGGCTCTGTGTTCACCACACACTCGTGATGGCCACAGAGGACTGCTGAGCTTCCCAGGTAACTCGCGGGACATCCGGAAAGCGGAATTGAATCTAGGTCTGCTTCCCACAAACACCAGGTTTAGCTAAGAGCAGAGCAGGCTCTCCCAAGGCCAGAGAGGCAATGAAACCTGCTTTCCACTGATCTTCCTGCCAAGTCCGAGGCACACCGTCTCCAGGCCTCCTCGTCACCCAGACAGATCACCCTTTGCCAAAATTTAAGATAGTTTCTGCACTCTTAACAGTCTTTTGTACAGTATGGACCTAGTGGAAGTGACTGTTCAAATCTTTGGCCTATTTTTAAAGTAAATTTTCACTTCAAATGCCACTGATATTCTAAAATTATTAATATCTGGAGAATACCACAGCCTGCGAAACCATAACCTTCTCAAATAAGCAAAGGTCATTAGCTGCAGAGAAATGCAACCTCAACTAAAATCACAATGAGATGCCACCACATACCCACTAGAACTACTAAAATTTTTTAAATTTAAAAGCATTGTAGGGGGGCAGCTAGAGCTCTCATACACTGCTTGTGGGAATGTCAAATGGAACAGCCACTCTGCACTCTGGCGGTTTCCGGTAAAGTTACACACAGACTTATGATATAGCCCAGCCATCCCATTCTGGGTATTTGCCCAAAAGAAATGAGAGCATCTGTCCCCACAAAGACCTGTATGTGAGTGTTAACAGAAGTCTTATATGAAATAGCCCGAACTGCAAACAATCCAAATGTCCTGCAACTAGTGAATAAATTAAATTGGAAAACTATTCAGCAACACAAAAGGACCATGCTACTAATATATGCAACAGCATGGCTCAAGCTCAAAAGCTGTAGGCGAAGAGAAATAAACCAGATAGGAAAGACTGAAAATATGAGCCTATATACATGTCATTCTGGAAAGTGAAGCAGTGGGGACAGGAATCAGAGCAGTGGTTGCCAGGTGGTGGGGGGAGAGGACAGACTGCAAAGAGCACTGAGTGATGGAAATATTCTACGTCAGGACTGTGGTAGTGGTTATACAGCTATATACATTTATCAAAACTCATCAAACTGTACATGCAAAAAAGGCTAAATTTAACTGTACATAAATCACACATTGATAATCTGACCTCCCCCCTCAAAAAAGGTTTGTGTTCTATGATAATAATAAACACCCTCCACAAGTCAAGTCATGCCTTTAGGAGAACTAAAACCTGCAAAAGGTGAAGCTTGATTGTCATGTGATTCCCTAGAAAAGTAAAGAGAGAATAAAACCTTCATCCCCTCTTCATTCCACAAACAACGGCAGCTCTAACTCTGCAAGGTTCCCGTTAGCCACAGCAAATACTTATCGAGCACCTATTAGGTGCAGATGCTGTTCTAGACACTGGAGCTTCAGCAATGGACAAAAGAGGCAAAGTTCCTGCTCTGATGAA